ATCCACTTCTCTCATATGGTGGACAACCTTGAGAGATTTTTTATCTGTGAAACCATCCCTTCATCTCTGGGATGAAGCCCTTTGATCATAGTGAATGTGGTTTTTTTCAGATGTTCTTGGATTCTGCTTGCCAATATTTTATTATATTTGCATCAAAGTTCATGAGGGACATTGGTGTATAATTCTCTTTCTTTGTTTCATCTTTGTGTGGTTTGGGTATCAGGGTAGCTGTAGCTTCATAAAAAGAATTTGACAATGTTCCTTCTCTTTCTATTATGTGGAACTAATTATGGAGTATTGTTATTAGTTCTTCTTTGAAATTCTGGTAGATTTCTTTGCTGAAACCATCTAGCCCTATTTTTCTCTTTTTTTTTGGGGGGGGGGGGGCTTCAACGGCTGATTCTCTTTCTTTAGGGGCTGTAGATATCCTTAAATTGTTTATCTGGTCTTATTTAATTTTGGTATGTGGTACTTATCCTGAAAATTGTCCTTTTCTTTCAGATTTTACAATTTTATAAAGTACAGGTTTTTTTTTAAAGAACTCACTCTTCATTTCATTGATTCTTTGTAGTGTTCTTTTTCTTTCTACTTGCTTGATTTCAGCCCTCAATTTGATTATTTCCTGCCATCTATTCCTCATGGGTGACTTTGATTCTTTTTTTTTTTTCTAGAGCTTTCAGGTGTTTTGTTAAATCATTAGTGTGAAATTTTTCCAAATTCCCTTTGAAAAAAAATCCATTTTTAAATTTATTTTTCCATTAAAAATTACACTTCCTCCCCCCCTTTCATTCCCCTCCGGCTCCCCCAGTTACCCTCCTCCCTCCACCTCTCTCCTTAAGAGAGAACAGGCTACCCTGCCCTGTGGGACTTCCACGACCCTCCCTGCTCCATCCAGGCCTAGGAAGATGTGCATCCAAATAGACTAGGGTCCCAAAAAGCCAGAACATGCAGTAGAAACAGGTCCTAGTGCTGTTATCATGGCTTCTCAGTCTGCCCCCCCCCCCTTGGCAGCCACATCCAGAGAGTACGGTTTGATCACAGGCTCATTTAGCTGGCCTTGGTGAGCTCCCATTAGATCAGGCACGCTGTCTCATTGGGTGGACCAACCCCTCCTGGTCCTGACTTCCTTGCTCATCTTCTCCCTACTTCTGCTCTTCAACTCGATTTTGGCAGCTCAGTTTGTTGCTCTGATGAGGGTCTCTGTCTCTATCTCCATCTGTTGCAGGACAAAGATTATATGGTGGTATTGGAGATAATCATCAGTGTGATAGTGGGGCGAGGCCAGTTCAGGCACCCTCTTTTCTGCCGCCCAAGGACCTAGCTGGGGACATCCCTGTGGACACCTGGGATCCCCTCTAGAGCCAAGTCTCTTGCCAACCCTAAAAAGGCTCCCTTAATGTAGATATCTTCTTCCCTGCTCCTATATCCACCCTTTTTCCATCTCCACCCTCCCACTCCCCCAAGCTCTCCCCAGTCACAGTGGTGAGTGCAAGGGAGAAGGAAAAAAATCCATTTTTTTAAAAAAATTTCATTTTACATTCCAACCAAATTTCTCCCTTCCACCCCTCCTCTTACTCCCTTAATTACCCCGCATCCGTGCCCCATTCACACCTAGCAACAGGTAAGGACTCCCATGGGGAATCAACATAGTCTGGAATGTTATGTTGGGGCAGCACAAAGTCCTTCCCATCTGCATTAAGATTTTAAACTTTTTATTCATTTTATATACCCACCACAGTTCCCCCTCCCTAACCTCCTCCTATTCCCTCCCACTTCCCACCCCCAACCCCCAATAGGCATCCCAGAAAATGTAAGGCTTCCTATGCGAAGTCAAGGAAGCCTGGCATATGAAGTTGAGGCAGGACCAAGGCCCTTCCCCTACATCAAGCCTGAACAAGGCATTTCCCCATAGGGAGTGGGCTCCAAAAAAGCTAGCTCATGCACCAGGGATAGATCCTGGTCTCAATGCCAGGGATCTTACAATCAGACAAAGTCATACAACTGTTGTTCACTTATAGAGGGTGTAGCTCTGTCCCATTCAGGCTCCCTGGTAGTGATATTTTGCTTGTGTCTTAACAAATAAAGCCTGAACATCAGAGTACAGAGCTAAGCCACTAGAGGCCAAGGAGTGGTGGCATACCCTTTAATCCCAGGATTTGGGAGAGAGAGGCAGAAGGATCTCTATTAGTTGAAGGCCACCCTGTCCTAGAAGAGACTGAATTTCTCTAAAAGAGAAACAGAGCTCACACAAAGGTGATCTCAGCACTTGGGATCCCACCTTTTCAGCCCCAGCACTAGGGAGGTGGAGACAGGAGTGACATGACTGGGTGGAGAGAGGAATATAAGGCAGGAGGAGACAGGAATTCAGGGCAGTCTGAAGCAGTCTGAGTTCAGTCTGAGGATTGTCCTTTTGGTCTGAGCATTGGTAGAGGTAACAACTCTGCTGTGACTGCCCATTCTGCTTCTCTGACCCTTCAGCTTTCATCCCTCATAGCTGACTCTGTGTTTTCATTATTAATACCAATTAGAATCCATACTACACTTCCCATATGTTGATCCAGAGTCCATGAGGTCCCAGGAGATTGGGTCTGCTGTCTGTGGGATTCCCTGTCTCGATCTCGACCTTGCCTTGCACATAAAACCCTCGTCCCTTTCTTCGATTGGACTTCCTGAACTTGGCCCAGTGGCTTGTCTGTGGATCTCTGCATCTGCTTCCATCAGTTACTGGATGACGGTTCTATAGTGATAATTGTGGTAGTCACCAATCTGTTTACAGGAAAAGACCAGTTTAGGCATTCACTCCACTGCTGGCAGGAGTCTTAGCTGGGGTCACCCTGTGGATTCCTGGGGATTTCCCTAGCACCAGGTTTCTCTCTAACCCCATAATGGCTTCATCTATTGAGATGTCTCTTTCATTGCTCTTCAAGTAGTCCATCCCTCCCACTACTTGCCCATCTGGTTCCCTCCTGTTCTCATCCCCCATACCCTCCACTCTACCACTGGCCACCGGTTTACCCAGGAGATCTCATCTATTTCCCAGTCCTACTCAATCCATTTTTCTCTATTAGGGTCCTGCTTGCATCCTACCTTCTCTGAGGCTGAGGATTGTAGCCTTATTATTCTTTGCATTACATCTCTAATATCCACTTGTGAGTTAGTATATACACTGTTTGTATTTCTGGGCCGGGTTACCTCACTCAGGAAGATTTTTTTCAAGTTCTATCCGTTTGCCTGTCAATTTCATGATGTGATTGTTTTCAACAACTTAGTAATACTCCATGGTATAAATGTGTCCCATTTTCTTTATCCATTCTTCTTTTGAGGGACATCTAGGTTGTTTCTAGCTTCTGTCTATTGTGCCACAATTACAATAAGCATTGCTGAGCAAATATCCATGTGGTATGGTTGAGCATCCTTTGGGTAAATGCCCAAGTGTGGTATTGCTGAGTCTTGAGGTAGACTGACTCCAATTTTTTCTGAGAAACTTCCATAGCGATTTCTAAAGTGGGTGCACAAGTTTGCAGCCCCCAGAGGCTCAAGTATCACCAGCACCTATTGGAGGAAGTGATGAGGGACTAATCTCCTGCCTGGATATCCCCACTCTCTAGGCCCTAGGCCCCAGGGTACAGCCCATCATCATTCCTCTCCCCTTGTAGCCCCATTAACCTGTCAGCACTTAATACTCCTGCAGGCAGTGTGCACTGCCTCCCCTGCCACACTTTGTACTCTGCATCCTGTAAATCCCAGTGTGCTCCCCCCAAGACATGGAACTAAGCATCTGCCTCCCAGCCATCCACCAGGGCATCAGCAAACCGCAGATACACAGACACAATTTGCATTTATTAAGGGGGTGTGGCTACCAGGACACAGGATCTACCTGCACAGATTGGTGAAAGAGCCACATGCAATGCCTGCTGGTGTTGGAGGCTGGGATATGGGGATGAATTTAGGGAGGGAGCCTTGGAGAAGGAGGTCTTTAAGATGCTTTGGGTATAAGGTCAGAGAGGAGAGGGGAGCACAGCAGGTGTCCAGCTACAGATCTGGGGATGAGCCTGGTGGAATCAGATCCCAGGAGCAGGAGTAGAGGTGTGTGTCTGCCTTCATTGTACTTGTTGGCCTGGGAGGAGATGTCCTTGGGTTATCAGCAGTGTGTGTTGGAGATGGGCTGTAGACCAAAGGATCAAGTGTAGGGATTGAGGTTAGAAGTGTAAGAGTTGAAGGCAACACAGTAGATGGGTCAGGGAGCAGGGAAGGTAGTGATGGGTGTTCTGATGTAGAGCTGGGAATGAAACTAGGGATTAGGTGTGGGGAAGTGGCTGGGGAGGGTGAGAGGAGAAGGCCTGCAGGTAGTTTTGCTGGTTGTCTCATATGTCCCTCTTGTATGCCTGGAACACAAAATTTGTGCCAAGCACTTGAAACATTCTTCTAGCCTTCCCAGTCCAAAGAGCTTTGGGTTAGGTGTCATCTCTTAATGGACAGTTTGAGAAGACATTCTTGGTATTGGCCTGTGTTTCCCATACTCTGCAATCCATGTGTTAGGACACATTCAGACTCTGAGAGCTAATTTCAGTCTTCACCTTCTCTCTGCCAGTGGAAAGGCATGGAGATAAAAAAACCTCCGTGCTCTAATCAGAGCTCAAATTAACTTTCCCAGCCATAACTACTTCAAAATTCTATGTTCAGTTACCCAGCCCAGGACCAATTAAGAGATGAGAGGTGATCTAGCCTATGCAGGGCAGAGGGATAGATAACAGGGTTTGGTGACCACAAGGTCATTCTGCTAATGCTGGCATAAGCTTTCAGCTTAAAGAGAGGAAAATACAAAACAAACCAAAAAAAAAAAAAAAAAAAAAAGGAAAAAACCTGGACGAGGACCAATAAAAACCGTGATGGCCGATTATGATGTGGTATCCTGAATAGAGTATTTCTTGGGTCATTTGAATCACAGCTGGTGCTATTCTTCCCTCTTTGCCCATTCCCCTACCCCCTTGTTCATGAAGAGCAATGGAAAGTGGAAAACATGATATGGCCGACATGCAGCTGATTCTTCACTGTGCATTCCTCACTGAGAGCAAGGGATGCCTTCCCAGAAGCCAGCAGGCTCTGTTTGTACAGAGCTGCTTCTGAGACAGACTCCTGTCTTCAGTCCAATGGAGAGAAAGCAGAGCCTCCCTCGCAGTTCACTCTGGAAAGGTCTCGTATCCTTTCCCTTTGTCCTCCATCTAGTTCTGACCACCTTTGTGCAAGGTATGAAACTGGGTTTTCTTTTTCTGTCTCCACACAATGCCACTGCTTCTCAGCACCTGATTTTCAACCCAGATACAGCTCATTCAACATCCCACATACTGCTGCACTCTGGGGATTCCAGGCTACTGTGTACCTGCCGCTCTTGGGCTCTTGCAGACTACACACCAACATATATGTGTATATATATATATATATATATATATATATATATATATATATATATATATATATATATATATATATATACCCATGCACACCTGCACAGGCACCAGACATGCTTACATACTCACCACACACGCTTCCATATTGTGTACAAGTAGCAATGCCATGACAACCTGTGGGGAAGTCTATGTGTCTCAGGAACCCTCTGTGTGTTGCTGTATGGTTCCTGCATCAATTTGAGTGAGGCGGGGGTGGGGAGAAGAGGCAGAGAGTGTGAAAGAGGAATTGGCACCAACATATATATACTCATGCACACCTGCACAGTCACCAGACATGCTTACATACTCACCACACACGCTTCCATACTGTGTACAAGTAGCAATGCCATGACAACCTGTGGGGAAGTCTATGTGTCTCAGGAACCCTCTGCATGTCACTGCATGTCTTCTTGTAACAATAAGAGTGAAGGAGAAGTGGGGAGAAGAGGCAGAGAGGGTGAGAGAGGAATTGGCATGTCATCTAGACAGTATGCATGTCTTAGCGATGGTGGGTGCAGAGGAGGATTCTGAGGCACTGGTCCAGTCCAGTAGATGTTAGAGCCTTTCAAAGACTCCCAAGACTAGAGGAGGCATACATTTGCAAATGGTCAACGAGTGTGTGTTCATGTTGGTGCACAGGGTCCCTGAGAATATCCAGGAAGAGTGGTCTGGGAGGAGACTAGAAACTGAGGCCCATCACCAAGATGGAGGCACAAATGTTGAGCTGGGAGTCATCAGTAGATGGCGACACAGCACAGCAATTAAATAATACCCAACATGCCTAGATTTGCATGGAGTTTCCAGGACCTGTTAATCCTTCCCTGGGTACAGCATGCCAAAGCCTACTGTGCTCCTCCCTTTCATAATATCAGAGAGAGAGAGAGATGGGGACAAAAAGGTGACCATAATACCCTAATTCTTTGGCCATCACTAATGAAGGATAATGTTGCCCTTGTAGATGATGATTGGTTCTCCAGAGATCCTGTTTTGGCGAGGAAGGGGCTAAGCAGAAGGTCAGAGGGGGACAAGTGAGGACAATGGAACTTGTGAGTATGGACTAAGTACAATGGTATTCGTGTGTGCACTGCTGTGAAGAACCCATTATTTCTGTTCTTACCATCCCCTTTAGTGGGGCTGGGACTGTACTTCTATTGATAAAAATGGCTATGATGCAGAATGCTTTTGGTTTGATGCCAAGCCTCACATAAAGCAGGTTTGGTTGCTCAGGCCTCGAATCCTGGCATTTGGGAATTGGAGGTTGGAGGATCAAAATCTGAAGATTATTATTGTTAGAAAACAAATTTGTGGCCAGACTGAGCTGTATGAGACCCGACCTCCAATCCCGATAAATATACAAATTCAGTACATTTTAATGAATACATAGATGTTCACATTGACATTTCCTTGAGCAGCAGGCTACTGCTTGCATCTGCTTGATGAGTCATGTAAGACACACTGAGCAGTTTCAGCGTGTGCCTCTAGGAAGCAGACATAGACGAACAAATGGAAACTTGTAGTCTTGCATGGACTCTAAGAGAAAGGCAATCCCAGCCTGTCAAAGGAGGGAGGGGAAGGGTTCTCACTCCTTTAAAATGGGCCTAACCATAAACATCCCTCTTCTTCAGGAACGCCCTGAGGATAGAATTTGGGACCAGTTTTTTAATCCCTCCACTGTTTGGTCACTCACAGCACCTTGGAAATGCTGCTTTGGTCACAATGAGTCCCAGCAAGGCCACAGAGCCTCTGGCATGTCCCCTCCAGTGTTTCCACACTGTTCACTGGGGGTGGAGGCCAGTCCTGGGTGGCTGATAGCCCGAGGGTCCTCAAGCAAGGAGTGGAACTTGATTTCACATGAAAAGAAAAAAGAAATCTAGCTGGCTCCTCAAGATAAGTAGCTGCTAGCCAATTTGACCTACTCCTGTCTCCTCTTCCTCACTTACCTATATTCGCGCTGCAGGTAATGAGCCAATCTGCCTGAAAAAGAATCCTGCTGACAGACACGTCCAGATTCCAGTGCCCGAGAAACCACTACAAGGATGTTCCACCTTCCTTCCACCTCATTTAAGCCTTCATCTCTGGGAGATCAGCTGTCTGTCTTCCCTCAAGGCCACTCTCCATCCTTCACCATCCCGTAGCAGTTAGTCCTGAATCAGAGTTTGACATCCAGGCAACTTGGACTTGTTCCAGAGACAATGAGACATGGTCTCCTACAATCAGGTGAGGTGGAAATTGGTATTTCAGATGATTAGGTACAAATTTGATCTTTGTTTTTCTGCTGCACATTGACTTCCCAAATGAGGTATTGTATCCTGTTCCTAGGTTCATGGCTATGATCTAATGATCGAAATCCGTGTCTAGAAAATGTGGCCTTTTTTTTTGTTGTTGTTGTTGAAGAAACTGTATCTCCATGGGTTGTATGCATTCACGAGCCAATTAGACTTGAATGCATGTCAGAAGACTCTATTTCCAGGCTTTGGGCCACATGACTTACACACAACCCCCCAACTCTAAGTATATTCTCCACAATTGACAGGGCATGATAGGCCATCCCAGGTATCAAGATGCAGCAGAAGACATATCTATATTATTGCTTGGATGGTATGGTCCATACACTGAGTTTTGGGCCAGCTATAGTTACATAATTAGACCCTCTTTCAATACATAACCTGAACTAAATATAAGCAAAGCAAAATGAAATGCCCACTGAAGATGACCAGGACTGCCACTGTATATACCAAAGAAACCACTTAAGATGTACATGAAGGTTGATACAAAATAATGTGTATTGAGTATTCTGCAATAGTCAGGGCTGGAAATGTCTTAGGTGCCCGATGATAGGGCCAAGAACAATATGATCTATCACATGCCTGGAGTTTTGGATGACATGAAAGTCTGTGACAGTATCCATACTCTCTATGTATTTACCAGTTTTACATGGCTTTTTAAAAACTGTATTTCTTTTATTATATATTTTTTCTGTTTTGAGGCAGGGTTTTTCTGTTTCTTTGGCAGTCCTAGATATAACTCTATAGACCAGGCTGGCCTGAAACTCAGACATCCATCTGCCTTTGTCCCCCAAGTGGTATTAAAGGTGTGCACCACTATACCTGTGCTTCAACCTCACAGAAAACCACCTGCCTTTGCCTTGTTCTCTAGGTCTTTGAAGTGTTGACTACTATCTAACTGAAATCTATCTCTGTATGTCTAGAAAAACCTAAACTACATAATTAAAATTCTGATTATTATAGATGACTCTATTAATCTATATTTCTTAACTATACATTACACTTTTAAATGAGATGTACAAACACAATATCTTAAAGAAGTGTAGAAATACTTATACACAGTGTAACAAAATCAACCTTAAATTTTTATCAATAGACCAATATCCATACCAATTTAAAGTATTCATCTCTAATCATATCCCCCTATTTTTAAAAGTAATTTATTTTGACTATTAATCACTCATAATCAACTCCCCTTAAATGAAAACAAACATTTATAAACAATCATTTTTGCAAGTTGGGCATTGTTTTCTTCAAATTGCTTTCTCCTGTTTGTTGGGTGAAGTATTTTTAGGGTTCATGGAGACCTTTCATCAAACCACATTATCCTGGAAGGAATCCATAGCTTCTTATCCTTTTGGAAACAAGAGCAGAACCTCTTTTCCAGAGTAACATATACTTAGACTCAAATTTTGAAGACTATATATATATATATATATATATATATATATATATATATATATATATATATATATATGTTTAGCTTAGCATTCCCCACAATCAAATGTCTCTCTGTAGTTAGCTCTTTAACAGCCAAAAACTTTAAAGAAAACACAATCCAAACTGTCTGTGTATTTTCTATCTTTATGTGGCTTTTTAGAATTCCTTTAATCTATGTCTGCCTGTACTCTTTCATATTACTTTATTGTATCTTTAATCTCTCTCTCTCTCTCTCTCTCTCTCTCTCTCTCTCTCTCTCTCTCTCTCTCTCTCTCTCCCCTCTCTCGCCTATGTACAATTTGAAAACACACTGTGTCTTGTTTAGAGGTCTTTTATGTCTGAATCTGTCTTCTTGTATATTTGGAATCCTTTTTTGATTAGGACCATTTTCAAATAGTAAACAGTGTGGTCTCAGCAGCCCTGGATGCTGGCTTCATCTCTCTTTGACTTTCAATATGGCAGAGGTTTGTTTACTACCAGCTCTGGGACTGCTGGGTGGGAAACGTGCTTACTTCTCAGTTCTGGGAAGCACCGTGCAGCACATAAATCTTTTTTTTTTTTCTGATTAAAGCTAAATGTGCCATGCAGCATGCTGTGTGCCCTGGAAATATATCTGTGCATGGCGGCAGGAATTTGCCATGTTCTCCTGCCTGTGCACACCTAGAAGACCCGGTCCACTGATTGCCCAGGGAGGGAGTGCTAATCTGCTGACCTTCTCTCGACTATTTTGTGCCTAACCCTGAGCAAGCATACAAGCCCCCAGATGGGAAGTGGGTGGCAATCTATGCTGGCTAGCCCCAATTGTTTGGGCACCAGTATGTAAATGCAATCTGTGCTTTTGTTTCCTGACTGCCCATACCAGAATAATGATATAGAGACTACATTAATTATAACACTGTTTGGCTGATGGCTCAGGCATATTTATAGGTAGCTCTTACATCTTAAATTACCCCATTTCTATTAATCTGTGTTTTGCCATGCGGCTGTGGCTTACCAACAAGGTTCTGGTGCTTTTCTCCTTCAGCAGCTAAATGGCATCTGCTGGTATCCATTTTTTTTTCCTGCATTCAGTTTAGTTTTTCTGCCTACTAATATTCTGCCCTGCCATAGGCCAAAGCAGCTTCTTTATTAACCAATAAAACATATTCATAGCATACAGAGAGGAATCCCATGTCAGGCAACTGTTCTCACCTAGTCAGTCCATTTATTGGAAATACTAGTATGTAAATGAGTCTGCAGAGAAAATGTTTGAAATGATTTCTCTACCAAAGTCCTCTGAAACATGGCCACTGGTCCTTCTAACCATCACCCAGTCAGAGTACAAGAAACTCTCTGAGGAAATCTTTGTTCCTAGGCACACCCAGAGCCCTGTTTCAGTCAAAATCCTGAAGGTTTTAAGTCTGAAAGGGAATACTGAGGAGGCAGGTCTCACCTTGCATGGAGAGTGTTGGAACAAAGGTGTTTCTGAACTGACCTTTGGTGACCTTGGGGGAGAGCAGGAAGGGGGTGATACCTTCTCCCCACTTCTGTTTCATAGGCCTGAGTTTGAACAGAGGACTCTCTTGGTCAGTGTGACTGTCCTGGGCAGACATTTTTAACCATGATGACTTGCTAGGAGATGAGGAATAACTCCTGTTTGCTGTGTGTGTCAGGCTCTCTTCCAAGTGCCTCTTGAAAAAATTCATCCAACCATCCCAAATAACTTTACCAACGTGGGACCAACTGGTACCTCCTATTCATAAAAGAGGGTCATGCCAGCATACAAATGCTGGAGTAGGGACATAGGCACAAGATCACAAATGGTGGGGCAGGATATAGACACAAGATTACAAATGGTCCCCTGGACCCAGCAATACCACTCTTGGGAATATACATAAGAGATGCCCGATCATATGACAAAAGCATTTGTTCAACTATGTTCATAGCAGTATTATTTGTAATAGCCAGAACCTGGAAACAACCTAGATGTCCTTCAATGGAAGAATGGATGAAGAAAGTGTGGAATATCTACACATTAGAGTACCACGCTGCGGTAAAAAACAATGACTTCTTGAATTTTGCATGCAAATGGGTGGAAATAGAAAACACTATCCTGAGTGAGGTAACCCAGACCCAAAAAGATGAACATGGGATGTACTCACTCATAATTGGTTTCTAGCCATAAATAAGGGTCACGGAGTCTACAATTGGTGAACCTAAAAAAGCTAAGTAAGAAGATGAACCCAAGGAAAAACATATAGTTATCCTCTTGCCTATGGGAAGCAGACAAAATTGCCGAGGAGAAAAGTGGGATCTTGGGGGTGGGGTGGGTTGGGGGTAAGGGGAGATGGGGAGAGAAAAGTGAGAAGGGGAGGATGGGGGGAATTTGGGGAAACAGGATGATTGGGATAAAGGAAGGCTGGATAGGGGAGCACGGAAGCACAATTCTTAGTTAAGGGAGCCACCTTAGGGCTGGCAAGAGACTTGAACCTAGAGTGGCTCCCAGGAGCCCAAGGCGATGTCCCCAGTTAGTTCCTTGGGCAGATGAGGATAGGGAACCTGAAATGACCCTATCCTATAGCAATACTGACGAATATCTTGTATATCACCATAGAACCTTCATCTGGTGATTGATGGAGATAGAGACAGAGACACACACTGGAGCACTGGACTGAGCTCCCAAGGTCCCAATGAGGAGCGGAAGGAGGGAGAAGATGAGCAAGGAAGTCAGGATCACAAGGGGTGCACCCACCCACTGAGACAGTGGGGCTGATCTGTTGGGAGCTCACCAAGGCCAGCCTGACTATGACTGAAAAAGCATGGGATAAAACCAGACTCTCTGAACATGGCGAACAATGAGGGCTGATGAGAAGCCAAGGACAATGACACGGGGTTTTGATCCTACTTCATGTTCTGGCTTTGTGGGTGCCTAGCCAGTTTGGATGTTCACCTTCCTAGACGAAGGAGGGGGGAGGACCTTGGACTTTCCACAGGGCAGGGAACCCTGACTGCTCTCTGGACTGGAGAGGGAGGGGGAGAGGAGTGGGGGGAGGGGGAGAAGGGTGGGAGGAGGGGGAGGGGAATGGGAGGCTGGGAGGAGGGGGAAACTTTTTTTTCCTTTTCTCAAAAAAAATAAAATGAAACACACACACACACACACACACACACACACACACACACACACAAAAGATTACAAATGGTGGGGTGAGACATGGACATGAGGAATGTGAATCCTGAGCTAGCAGTCCTCTTGAAGGAATGGTCTTCAGGTCTATTACTCAGGTTCTAGATGTGAGCACCTTCATTTGTGGTTTTTGCCTTATATTTCGTTGGCTTTGACTTTTTTCTGGTTTCTAAGAGTAGTCCCAGAATAGACTTTTGCGTGAACTCTGGGTGAGGCTACCCACTATCAGGCAAACTTTTCAGTTACTGAGCCATTTCAGAAGTCCCAGCACGTCAGAAATCAACATTTTCACCTGTGATCACAAAATCGTCTGTGCAGCCATTCCACCA